TTTTTTTCTTTTTTTTTTTTTTGTTACAGTAATACAATACTGTCTTCTTTAAGTTAGTGTTAAGATTCTTCAACATGTAATTCATAAGAAGCTTGTATTAAGAGTTAACAGGAATTGTAATTGAAACCTTCTGTATATGTTTTTACATGTATTGGAAATCCAAGTGATGGAAAAAGTTGCTAAATTTCACCTGAAAAGATAACTAATACAAATCCATTGCTAAACTACAGTCAAAACTTGTGCAGCTACATTTCTAGAAGGATTGCAATTTTCATTGACTTATTTATCTACTACATAATGACATAAGAAAACATCTCCGGAATATCATAACAAGAAGGAATGTTAATGCTGATATAAGAAAACGTATCAGTAGTATCTTAACAAGAAGGCATCTAATTGCATAAATATCATAGGATGCATCATAGTAAACTACAGAAAAATAAAGAATATTGAAAGTACACTATATTAGGCCTTCATCAACAGATTTGAAACTTGGTGCATCGTTGGCCTTTCATGTGGATTGGAATTCAAACATGCTCTGGAGACTCTCAATACTAACATAACATCTTTCTCAACTTGGGATGAAGGAGGTGGTATCCGACTGTCTCCCACATTTGCTAACACCAGATGATCATCTGATAATGTTGGTAAAGATGTTATGAGTTCCCCAGGATGCTTTCCCATGACCACTTCTAGTGCAACAACTCCAAAGCTATACACATCACATTTCTCATTTGCCACCATCGTATAAGCAAGCTCTACATCCAAAGAAACATAAGAAAAAATTAAAACAAAAAAAAAAGCTATATCAACCTCTCATGATTCTAATGTAGATACATATTTATGTAAATCATGAAACTTAAGAAGATGTAGAACTACAATCACAAGATCACGTTACCTGGAGCGATATAACCATAGGTTCCTGCTACTGCAGTCCAGTTTGATGAGTCTAGCTTTAAAAGCTTGGATGTGCCAAAATCAGAAATGCGTGCCTCATAATCAGAATCGAGAAGGATGTTGGATATGGAAATGTCTCTATGCACTATAGGCGGTGAACAATCGTGATGCATATAAGCCAAACCATTAGCAACGCCCTTTACAATATTGACCCTTGTTAACCAATCCAATTCTTTTGCTAATACATCGCTTTTTAAAATAGATCCAAGGCTGCCATTTTCAAGGTATTCATAAATCAAAATTGAGTTGCGGGCATGGGAGCAATATCCATAAAGTTTCACTATGTTTCGGTGCCTTATGTTCGTTAATGCCCGTACCTCATTAAGGAAACCACTATGATCAACATTCTCGGATGATGAATGAAGTTTCTTGACAGCAACCACATTGTCAGGTTGTAGCTTAGCCTTGTAAACAATACCATATCCTCCTGTCCCTATACAGTAGGCTTCATTGAAATCATTTGTTGCCTTCAAGATATCATCATACACTACTTTACCATCAAAACTTGTAATATGGAAATAATCACCACTTTCTTCATCCAATGGTTTACGTGGAGACTTTTTCCATCGTTGTCGATAAGCAATGAGGCCATACGTGAATAAACAAAGTAAAACTACCCCTATAAGGGGGAGCATGATTACAAGGATGAGCTTCTGACGAAAGGGATTGTTTTTCTTCTTCGTAATTTGACTTGTACAAAGTTTCACTCCCGTAACATTTCCACACAAACCTGGATTACCTTGGACGGACGCATTCACCAAGTTGGGGCTCGGTGGAACCGGACCTGTGAGCTCATTGTAAGACAGGTCGATATCAATTCCGCCATGCAAATTTGTAAAAGTATTAGGAATAGAACCAGATAGTCTATTGTGGGAAAGATCCAATTTCTGCAAAGTTTGTAAACTTTGAACTTCAGATGGTATCTCTTGTGTGAACAAATTCCGAGATAAATCAAGTTTCTCAAGATGAACTAATTTACCAATCTCGGACGGGATTTTTCCACCGAGCTTGTTATTACTAAGATTCATGTAATTGATTTGTGCCCATTGACCAATACTTCTTGGTATCGACCCATTCAATCTGTTTGTGGACAGATCTAGTACAAGGAGTTCATGGAATGATCCAAGCTCCAGAGGTATAATGCCTGAAAGTTGGTTATTAGACAAGTACAAATTCAGCATACTTTTCATCTTCCCAAATTCCTTAGGGATTTCACCTACCAACTGATTAGAAGAAAAATCAAGCCTTTGTAATCGCGTTGAATTTGCAAACTCTGGTGGTATGCTACCTCTAAGTTTATTGTTGCTAATGTCAAGATCAGTGAGAGACTTCAAATTTCCAAGTCCAGTAGGAATGAGACCAGATAATCTATTCACATCTAGGTACAGAATCTGTAGGTTACTCAGGTTTGATAGAGATAAAGGAATAGAACCACTAAGTTGATTCTTACTTATTACAAGATCAGTGAGAGACTTCAAATTCCCAAGTTCATTAGGAATGAGACCAGAAAAATTATTCCTTTGTAGGAACATACACTCTAGGTTACTGAGGTTTTCTAGGGAGGAAGGAATAGAACCATTTAGTAGATTTTGGCTCACTTGGAAATTAGTGAGAGCCTTCAAATTCCCAAGTTCAATAGGAATTGGACCAGATAATTCATTTTGATCGAGGAACAGAAATTGTAGGTTGCTCAGATTTCCAATTGATGAAGGAATAGAACCACTAAGTGTATTGTTGCTTACCAGAAGCCTAGTGAGAGACTTCAAGTTCCCAAGATCAATAGGAATTGGACCAGATAACTTATTATGAGCCAGGTTAAGACGATTTAGGTTGCTCAGGTTTGCTAGTGATGAAGGAATGTAACCACTAAATTGATTCATGGCCATCACCAGAATAGTGAGAGATTTCAAATTCCCAAGTTCATTAGGAATGGGACCAAATAAATTGTTCTCAGCTACGTACAGAGATTGTAGGTTGCTCAGATTTCCTAGTGATGAAGGAATGGAATCAGAGAGCTGATTTTGGTACAAAGAAAGGACATTTAAAGATGTCAAAGCACCCAATGATGAAGGAATTGAGCTAGATAGATTGTTTGAGTATAAGTATAGGAACTCAAGTGAGACCATGCTTCCAATTTCAGGTGGGATTTCACCAGAAAACTGATTCTGTGAAAAATCAAGATAGATAAGTCTGGAGAGGAGTCGGATTTGTGGTGGGATAGGGCCAAAGAAGCTGTTTACCCTGAGATCAAAATGCGTAAGATTTTGTAGCATAAAGAATGAAATTTCTTGAAGCGTGCCTCTTAACCCAGAAGACGTGAGATTCAACTTTTGAATGCTCCCATCAGTATTGCAAACTACTCCGAACCAAGAAGTGCATGGGATCGATGCACTGGAATTCATAGGGAGAGGAATCCATGAAGAAAGCAAGGAGTTGTTTGGGACTTGAAGGGTTTCTTTCCATTTAAGAAGAGCATCGCCTTCCTCCACAGAAGCAGAAGCAAAATTTGGAACAGGCGAGAGTACTCTAATGAATAGTAGAGTTAGAGAGAAAAATAAAAAGTATGAAGAAGACATTATTTGCTTTGCACTGTTGTGTTTTGAAAAATGATGGTTTGAGTATTCAACTTTATACTTGAGCTACCCTTTTGTTCTTGGTTATTTCATTTCGTCTTATTCTAAAAAGAAAATTATGACAATTTCATATTTTTCCACAATGAGTGTCTTTTATGTAGAAGTTAAATGCCATACTTTTCTGTAAAGGACTTATTACATTTTGAATTGTATTGCTCATGACAATATAGCTAGGAAGGAACGTTAGAAAATAAATTTAAAATAGTTAGACATGATTTTTTTTCAGATAAATTTTAGTTCAAGTTTCACTTGGTGTGTCTTTTACTTCAGAATTAAATTATGCAACACATACTAATATTTAGAAGATTCTCAGGTCCAAACTGTGTTAATTAGTTAATGGATTAATAGATCTAAATTATGTAACTTATACCGGTATTAATTAATTTAGACGATTAGCATGTCTGTGCGAAGAGAAATTAAATTTTCTTCTATATTTTTTTCAACTCATGAAAAACCGTGACAAGTGTTACATAGATAAATAGGAAAAAAAGTAAAAATATATTATATTTCTCTTGTTTGAATGAGTCAGTTATATGAATGATTCAACGGAGATAGGGTCAATAGTAGTGGCCTTTTAAGAAAATCTAATAATTGAATTAAGCTGATGATGCATTCCTTGAACGTGTGAACCCCATAACATAAGATAAATATGAGGATAATTAAATATAAAGAGATGTCACTTTTCCCTGCATTTATTTATTTGGTTCTTTGAAAAGTGTCTAGAACTTCACATACTTACTTTGACTAAAAATGAAGATAATTAAATAAAATATGAGTAACATTAAATAAAGGGATATAGCCTCACAAAAATGATCATATTTTTTTAAAAGATCTTGACAAAATTGTAAAAAAATGATCTTTGTGGTTTTGGGTGGAGTTACTACAGTGGTTGCCGGATACTCAGCCACCCCCAACATTTTTAGTGTACTAATTAGATAAGCTCATTTCATATGTTTATAGCTCATCGCCCCTCCTTTGATTTAATAATTAAATTATATATTACTCAAATTACCAATGATCTAATTACCAAACTGAAAAAAAACAGGCAACTTTTTTATTTGTTGTTACTTGGCTACTGTACTACAATATCTTTTCCACTTAAAATATCTTCTCCATTTAAAGAACAAAATATGTTTTTTAATTTTCTTGTGTATTCAATAATATTTTTAATTTCCATTAACTATATTATCACGAGTATAATTCATTTGATGAACATATGTATCTATAATTAAGATAACTTTTAATATTCGCATGTTAATGGAGAATTATAAATCAATGTTTATTGTCATTTGAAAACTTTTTAAATGTCATTTTTGCAATGATCGGTATAACTTCTACTTAAAAAGGAATTTTTAGTCATTTTCTCTTTTATAATTGTAGACTCTTTCACATTATTTTGATATAAGATATACTTAATATATTTTTACGATGTCAGCCCCTCTTATTCTTAAATCCTGGCTCCGCCCCAGAAACCGTTATTGGTGCATCAAGTGTCCAATTTTGAATACCTCATGTGATTTTAGTCCCTATGGTTGGTATTTTTTTGTTGTTTTGTTCCATATCTGATAAATACCGATTTGAGATGGTAAGTCTCCACAGAACACGTACAAGAAGATGGGACAATTTTCTGAAATTTATTCATGACTTCAAAACAGAAATTACATCAATTAAATATGAAGACTCTTAAATAAAAACTAGGAATTAGAAATGGTCATGGACCTTATGCCAACTACTAATCGTGAGCTAAAATTTAGCCACTAATACTAAAAATAAGGAATGACTTAATCAACTTTGACTAACTCCCTTGCAAGTCATTAGTCCTGGAATCGAGCGGGCCTTCGGATGATACACTTGGGCCTTTGGTGGTCTACGATTGGACTGTTGTGCTCTGGGCTTGTATCAAATGCCCCCGGCTTTGCAACGAGCTCGTCCTCGAGCGTGGGAATGGTGGTGTCATTGGGCTCGTCCCATTGAGGAAGTGGAGTTCGGATTGGATTTCCATAAGCCTGGCGAAGCAAGGAAATATGAAAGACAGGGTGAATTTTAGCTTCTGGGGGTAACTGTAGACGATAACCGACTTTGCCAATTCGTTCAATGACTTTGAAGGGTCCAAAGTATCGTTTGCTTAATTTCTTTGTATCACAGGCTACAATGGTCTTTTGGCAATAGTCTCTGAGTCGGACGTAGACCATATCACCCAAGCAAAACACTTTATCGAGTCAGTGTGAGTTGGCCAAGGATGTCATGCGTTGTTGGGCTCGGTGAAGGTTTTCTTTCAAAACAGTGTGGAGTCGTTGGTGTTCTTTAAGTGCTTCATCGATTGAGGCTGTGGTGGTAGTCCCAGACCGGTAGCGATTGATGGCAGGAACACAGTAGCCGTAAAGGGCCTGGAATGGGGTCATGGCGATGGCGCTATGGTATGATGAGTTGTACCATAATTCCATAAGATACAAGAATTTAGACCACATGCGAGGTTCATCACTAGCAAAAGCTCAAAGGTAGTTTTGGAGGCATCGGTTGACAACTTCGGATTGGGCATCGGATTGTGGATGGTACGCAGTGGAGTACTTCAAGGTGGTGCCTAATTGCTTGAAAAGTTCCTTCCAGAATGAGCTGAGAAATATGGAGTCGCAGTCGGAGACTATGCTTTTGGGAATACCGTGGAGCTTATAGATGTGAGTAAGGAATAGGGAAGCTAGGGTGACTGCACCAAAATGAGTGGGTAAGCAATCAAATGGGCAGTTTTAGAGAAGCGATCCACTATTACCCATATGGTTGTTTTTCCTGCAGATAAGGATAAGTTAGTAATAAAATCCATAGTTATGTTCTGCCATGCGGTGGAAGGAATGGGTAGAGGTTGAAGGAGCCCATAGGGTTTATGGGTTGGGGTTTTGATTTGTTGATAGGTGGTACAATTCCGAATGAACAGGGTGACATTTGGTTTAAGTTTAGGCCAAACGAAGGTGGATAAGATGCGTTTGATGGTTGGGAGGATGCTTGAATGACCCCCAAGGGGGGTGCAGGGGTACTCATGGAGTAGTTGTTGGCGAATGGTTGTGCCTTCGGGTATGTAGAGGCAGTGATGGTGGTAGAGTAGCCCATCGTGGACCTGGAAGATGGTGGGTCCATCTGCTTTGTGCAGTAGTTTTTGTACGAGTGATTTGCCCTAGTTGGTGGTGTAGAAGGTTCGGAGTTCAATCGGCCATGAGGGATCTGTTGTGGATAGTGCAAGCAGTTGTGGTTGGTTGATGCGATTGAGGGCATTTGCAATGATATTTTCTCTTCCGGGCTTGTATAAGATCTCAAAATCATAGCCGAAGAGCTTGGTTTCCCATTTGTATTGTTCAGGGGTCTGAACCACCTGAGAGAGTAGATCTTTGAGACTTTGTTGGTCGGTGTATATGTGGAATTTGCGACCAATCAAACACTGATGCCACTTTTTGACCACCTCCGTGATCGCGAAGAGTTCCCAGACGTAAGTAGAGGCTGCCTGCATGCGTGGCCATAATCGTTTACTAAAGAAGGCAATAGGGTGGGTTCCCTAGGATAGCACTGACCCAACTGCAATGGTGGATGCATCTGTGGTGACATCGAAGGATCTTGTGAAGTCAGGGAGTGTGAGGGTGGTGAGGGAAGCCATAGCGAGTTTCAACTGCTGGAACGAAGTCTCGGCCTTGGAGTTCCATCCGAAGGAGTTGGTCCGGAGGAGATAGGTAAGGCCTGCAACAATGGTGGCGTAGTTCTGGATGAAACGTTGATAGTACCCTGTAAGGCCAAGAAACCCACGTAGCTGTGTTAGATTTTTTTGGTTGTGGCCACTGTTGGATGGACACAATTTTATCTGGATCAGCTTGGATGCCTTGTGAGGTGATGATGTGCCCCAAATAACTGATGTTTTCTACAGTAAAAGTGCATTTGGATTGTTTTTCGTTGAAGTGATGTTAAGTCAACTTGAGAAGGACCTGTTCCTAATGGTATTAATGGTGGGTGAGCGATGAGCTGCAGACCAAAATGTCGTCAAAAAAGATGAGAACATACAAATCGTTCATGGTAGCTTGGAATGTAGATGGAGCATTAGAGAGCCCAAAGGGCATAACGAGAAACTCGTAATGGCCATCGAGTGTTCTAAAGGCTGTTTTATGGGTATCTTCGAAGGCCACCCGTATTTGGTGATACCCGACATGCAAGTCAATTTTAGAGAACACGGAGGCACCATAAAGTTCATCCAACAGTTAGTCAACGGTGGGGATGGGAAAACGGTCCATGACGGTGATGGCATTGAGACTACGGTAATCAACACAAAATCTCCAGGTGCCATCTTTTTTGTGTACCAAGAGGACTTGGGATGAATAGAGGACTGGTAATAGGGTTACTTATGCCATCGGCTAACATCTCATTGATCAGGGTGGTCATGATTTGTTTTTAGTAGTGAGGGTATCGGTAAGACATCACATTGACTGGATTGGCCGTAAGGAGAGTAGGTATGTGGTGATATATTGGGTGAGATGGGGGAAGGAGGTAGGGATATTAAGTATGGTATTGTAGTGGGCCAATAGTGTGTCTATTATGTGATCTGCATGGGTAGGGAGTAGTGGATCTAGTGGGGGGAGGTTAGGTTCGAACTGGAAGTATAAAGCGTGCAGAGAAGCGACACTATGTTTGTTAATGAGATATTGAATGTTGGTGGGAGAGGCTGGGCTTGCAAGGGGTTCTCCTTTTAGGTTGATAACTTATGGGCCTTGTTGAAACATGAGTTGTGGGATAGAAAAGTCAGTGAGGATTAGACCCAAAGTGTTTAACCACACCATGCCCAAAATTACATCAGCGCCTTCTGCTGGGAGAATAAAAAAGGGTATGGTAAATAGCGACTTGTTGAGGTGGATTTCTAGGGCAGGACACTTGCCGACGCACTGGAGGTAGTCACCGCTACCAACCATAACCGG